GTGTGTGTGTGTGTGTGTGTGTGTGAGTGTGTGTGTTTGTGTGTGTGTGTGTGTGAGTGTGTGTGTTTGTGTGTGTGTGTGTGAGTGTGTGTGTAAGAGTGTGTGCGTTTGTGTGTGTGTGTGTGAGTGTGTGTGTTTGTGTGTGTGTGTGTGTGAGTGTGTGAGTGTGTGTGTGTGAGTGTGTGTGTTTGTGTGTGTGTGTGTGTGAGTGTGTGTGTTTGTGTGTGTGTGTGTGAGTGTGTGTGTGTGAGTGTGTGAGTGTGTGTGTGTGTGTGTGTGAGTGTGTGAGTGTGTGTGTGTGTGAGTGTGTGTGTGTGTGTGTGAGTGTGTGTGTTTGTGTGTGTGTGTGAGTGTGTGTGTGTGAGTGTGTGAGTGTGTGTGTGTGTGTGTGAGTGTGTGTGTGTGTGTGTGTGTGAGTGTGTGAGTGTGTGTGTGTGTGTGTGAGTGTGTGTGAGTGTGTGTGTGTGTGTGTGTGAGTGTGTGAGTGTGTGTGTGTGTGTGTGTGTGTGTGTGTGAGTGTGTTTGTGAGTGTGTGTGTGTGAGTGTGTGAGTGTGTGTGAGTGTGTGTGTGAGTGTGTGTGTGTGTGTGAGTGTGTGTGTGTGTGAGTGTGTGTGTGTGAGTGTGTGTGTGTGTGAGTGTGTGTGTGTGAGTGTGTGTGTGTGTGTCAGTGTGTGTGTGTGAGTGTGCGTGTGAGTGTGTGTGTGAGTGTGTGTGTGTATATATATATGTGTGTGTGGTTCTGTTTGACAGTGTGTCTGGATGTGTGTGTATGATTATGTGTGTGTGTTTATTTGTGTGTCTGGCCATGTGTGGTCAGGATACTTTTAGCTTGAGTTTACGCTAGAGTTGATGCTGATATATATTTGGTATGTTTTTGGCCACTGTGTGTTTGTATGTTTGTATCCTCAAATGTAAGTAAAGTAAACGACCCAGTGGCCCACTTTCTTCTATTAACACCAATCTGCGATAACGTAAATAGGGAGTGAGAAATGCTAAATACAACATAAAATATCACTAGAATACATTTTGCATAGTATTTCGCTAATGAAGACTTTGGTCGAAACAGTCGTATTTTTGCAAGTCTTTTCCGTTGCCTTCGTTGAGCTTTCTAATTGTATCTTATATTGCATTAAGCACTTCTTACCTTCTGTGATAATTCGCACGCGTCTGAATTTTATTTTGAACAATACATTCTAGCGTTTTTGTGGATACACAATGTGTAGTCGTTTGCTGTACCATTTGTATTGTAAAGCCTGCAACCTTTGCTTCAGTTGGAGGGTAAGTGTCTAACAGTTTACTGTGTTTTTCGATAATTAACAACTGTGACTTCTTCACATAGCAGGTTCGCTATAGTGGATGTGTCATCATCATTATCATCATGTAGCATGTCCTTTGCAGAACGTCGCTCTCATCACAGTCTACCTGAAAGAAACTCCGTCTCTCGCTAGTTCTCCCACCTCATGCACTTTCACACCCAAGGAGTCACTTACATCCTGTGCCCATCTTCGTGTCGGCAGGCTCCTGCCCCACTTTTCTGGTACCATGCCTTCTGCTATAATTGTTTCCAATCCGTCGTGGCGCTTGATTTGACCAAAATATTTCAGTTTTCCAGCACGGATGCTGTTTCTTCCTTGATGTTCAGATCTTTCAAGTTGTCAATATTTCTCCTCTTCTTTGTCCAAGATATTCTGAGAATCTTTCTATAGCATACACAGTGGATGTGTAGATGAGTATAATTCAATCATCAGTTTAGGAACCAGAAAAGCACCTGGTCGAATGGTTAATAACTTTGGTCTCCCATGCGGAAGACCCAGGGTTGAGTCTTCAGTAAGGTTATGGAATTTTGTGGTTTCTGTTGTCTGTCGGGCCACAAATAGAATGCCATCCTTGCTCAGTCTGTGGTGACTATATTAGCACTGAATCCTCGGGCTGAAACACTCCCTTTACATTGTGGGGTCCAGGACCCCAGTTATTTAGAGTGGGGGGGGCAATAAGGTGTTAAGTTATGTTGAGTTGAATCAAGAATTGACTTCACAGCAATCGGGGTATTCCCACACGCGCTCCGTCCCCATCCTTAGCAGCCAGCGCAGAGTTCGAGCATTAATGGTGCTGTTGTAGTCTAGTGGTATTTACCTCTTACCTTTCCTCTGAGCGTAGTGTACCAACCGAACCCTCTGATCATACCCATGTGCATTGTTCTCTCCAGCCCATAATAATCTAGTTACTCTTCTGACTTTGTTACTTGTTCCCAAAGGCTCTGACCACATCTGCCTTGGCATATATCAGTTCACCACCAAGCGATGCAGATCCAGCCAATCTGTCTGCCTGTTCATTCCCCACCACGCCGGCATGACCTGGAGAAAAGATCCAAAGTATCATAACTACCAGTGACCTTGCAAGTGAAGCTTGCCACTCTGCTCGAAGCAATCCTGTCTTCACCTTTCTTCGCATGCTTTCAGAGTCTGTTACAATTACAACATGTGTATGTATCTTGTTCTCTAGCCACCGGCAAAGTGCATTGACCGCCTTCACCTCTATTCTCGTGCTAGATGTTGTGGTATCGTAAACCAGGCTGTCACAACAAAGAATATACCCCTATCCCACCCCCAATTAGCATGTCGTATAAGTCGACTAATTAATTGTTTGCCTTCTAAGTCAGAGTGCATCTGAAAGAGAGTCGAGGGACTAAGCCGGCATATAAATAAACCCGGTCTGTAAAACGGATGTGCGCTCAAAACTTAAGTTCTGGAGCAGGATTACAGTCCAGAAGTGGACAGACAACCAGAACTTTACGGCGGATGATCGCATAGAAGAAGATAAACTTCCTATCTACCGCTAAAGGGTAGAGACGGAAGAAGAGGAGGGGGGTGGTGCAGCCTTTGTCAGTCTGTCTGTCTGTCCATCCACCCGTCTGTCTATATGTTAGTCTTTCTAGTTTACCAAGGATATCTGGCCAACGCTTGACACTCATGGGAAAGGACAAGGCTGATATACAATCAGACAGTTACCTAAACCATCGGAATTGGAACTCTTCGCCTGCTGCTGAAGATGGGGACGGGGCGCTTATAGGAGTGTCCCGAGTGCTAAGATGTCGAGTCATAATTCATCATTTTACATTCTGTATGACTTTGTACCTTTCCATTATCAAAGCACATGCTTGTATATTTATTTCGTAGATGAGAACATCTACACCAGTCGGAATGTAGCCGAGAAATAAAGGCGGTTTTTGAGTCACTATCGAATCCTGTCACTGCTAGAACTCTGTCAAGCGTAACAGACACTATCGCCCTGTTCAGATCATTGCATCCGGTTTCACTGTCTACTTCGTGTCTGTCTGTCTAATTTTTCTGTGTCTCTATCTGCCTGGCTATGAATTATGCAGACATTGAAGAGTAGAGAGTGAGAATAAGAAAGGAAATTCGTAACATGTTTAAATCACAGCTAATTACAGAGGGATACTAGACTGTAGTTGTTGGGGCACCGAGGGAGCATAGAAGGTAAGCTAAGTACGTAACAATGGTGAATGGAAAAAGACCACGATGCAGATCGTGAAGATGTTCAGATAAAATACAACGAGCCTTACAAACACTTGCAATCATCAGCTGGAAAAAGAGGACAAATTACTTCTTCTTCTCATCCTGTCCCTGTTTCTCCTCTTGCCCCTGCTTCTCCTTATCTTCACACCTAATCTCTTTGTCTCGCGTGCACTTTCAATCATTTCCGATACATGTGATCTTTACGTGCCGTGTCAAACTGCAGCTTCTTCTCTTTCCATCTCCCTCTGTCTCTTTTCTCCTGCAACCTTGCCATTGTCATGACGTGCATCGCCTTTCTTCGTGTCATAACATGACCAAAGAATGTGTCTATGTGTGTGTGTGTTTGTGTGTGTGTGTGTGTGGGGTGTGGGTGTGTGTGTAGGTGTGGGTGTGTGTGTGTATAAATATATATATATATTGTGATCTCTTCACTTATATATAGTACACAATCTCCACTGCTTCCATATAATCTGTACCCAGTGCATAACCACATATAGTTAGAGTTAAATTCATTCGTACCTACGTTCTACTAAGTCTACAACGGCTACAATTAAATTTATTTCTCCGTCATATTGTGTATCTCAGCGCGCCTGTCAAACAGAGAACCGTTAAAGTTTATTTGTAGTTATAAACGTTTTGTGTCGTGACTCGCTGATGCCGCTAAAAATAACGCTACCGAAGCTTAACATTTCTCCTACCGCAGCGCTTGTTTTCTGCCGCGTCACATATGCATCATCGGCAAGACAGAATTAGCCCTGATATGAGTTCTGTGTGAATTTAACATTTTGAAGTCATCATATGTCTGTTGACATAACTTACCTGGTTATTGTCGTTTTCTTTAAGGAGTCTGTGTGTGTGTGTGTTGTGTGTGTGTATGTTGTATGTATGTATGTATGTATGTGAGTGTGCGTGCGTGCGTGCGTGCGTGGGTGGGTTGGTGGGGGTGTGTGCTATATTATGTATGTATGTATGTATGTATGTATGTATGTATGTATGTATGTATGTATGTATGTATGTATGTATGTATGTATGTATGTATGTATGTATGTATGTATGTATGTATGTATATGTATGTATGTGTTGTGTATGTATGTGTGTGTTGTGTGTGTATGTGTGTGTGTGTGTGTGTATGTGTGTTGTGTGTGTGTGTGTGTGTGTGTGTGTGTGTGTATGTGTGTGGTGTGTGTGTGTGTGTATGTATGTGTGTGTGTGTGTGTGTGTGTGTGTGTGTGTGTGTGTGTGTGAGTGTGTGTGTGTGTGTGTGTGTGTGTGTATGTGTGTGTATGTATGTGGGTGGGTGGGTATGTATGTATGGGTGTAGTGCGTGCGTGCGTGCGTATGTGCGTGCGTGCGTATGCGTGTATGTATGTGCGTATGTATGTATGTAGGTAGGTAGGTAGGTAGGTAGGTAGGTAGGTGTGTAGGTAAATTAATAGATATTTGCAATAATCTGTTTCCCACAGAGCCGAACACCAACTAGCCGACGAACTGTCAGCAGCCAGTCAAGGAACAACTCCACGCCTGGAGATTGGAGCCGCAAGAACAGTGCCGCGCCAGGCATCGGTTTCATCCGGGTCAAGCTTCTGCAGTCAGACTTACAGTCGGGTTCGGATCCTGACGATCCTTTTGTGGCCATCAATGTTAAGGAAGCCGTGGATATCCCTGGTAAGTGTCACTAAAATATTCTTGTTCTTTCTATTCAATTTCTTCTTCTTTGTTCGTCGACTGTTAGCCCCAGCAGAGAGCCCTAGCTGTTTCTTCAATTTAGACTTTTACTTTTTGTGTGCAAAGGCCTGAGTTTTGCGTGTACATCCGTTTCATTGTTTCGTGACACATCCATGGTAAGTATCACTAAAACAGTGTTTGCAGGTCTGTCTGGATATTATCTCTCCATCGTCTTCTTGGTCTGTCTGTCTGTCTGTCTGTCTGTCTGTACATGTCTTGTCGTGACACATCTGGTCTGTCTGTCAGTGTCTGTCTGTCTGTATTATCTCTCCATCGTCTTCTTGGTCTGTCTGTCTGTCTGTCTGTCTGTCTGTCTGTCTGTCTGTCTGCCTGCCTGCCTGCATGCATGCATGTATGTATGTATGTCCATATGTACTTTCCTAATAGGTATTTGCAATATTCTGCTTCCAACGGAGCCGAACAACCAGGGAGGTGAATGGTCGTAGACCACGAGATAGACCAAGAAGACGATGGAGAGATAATATCCAGACAGACCTGCAAACACTTGGTGTTACTAACTGGAAAGAGAAGGCCAACCAGAGAGATGAATGGAGGCGGGTGATATCTGCAGCAATGAACCTCAAAGGATCGGAATGCTGAAGAAGAAGAAGAAGAAGAAGAAGAAGAAGAAGAAGAAGAAGAAGAAGAAGAAGAAGAAGAAGAAGAAGAAGAAGAAGATCCGTTTCACTGGCTTATTTGTGTCCATCTGTTGTTCCTTGCTGCTCCGGCAGATGCACTCGGACTTCGAAGAAGCCCTAATTGGTCGTCTCCTAAGACATGCTTGTTAGAGGTGCAGTGTATTTATTCTTGTTTTCCCCTACAATGGGGCCCCGGAACCCACACGGTGTTTTTTGTTCGATGCAGTTCTGTTTGCTCTGTGTAGAACTGAAAGAGAAATAAAAGCCAGGTGTCAGAAAGCAATTGTCACCATTAATAACACAACCAAACATAACTAGTAGTGCAAAGAAACAGTTGAAACAGTATATTTATTCCAGAAGCCAGTGATGCAACAACGGTCCTGAAATCCCCTGCTTTAACTGTGGTAGACTTCTCTTACCATGCGTGGGTTCTGCTGATTACACTTGCTATCTTTTTCTTGATCTTCTCTTGTTCGCCTGGAATATATTATCTATAAAAGCAGTTTTCCTTATAAATTTCACTATCGTTTTTTTGGTTCATTCAGTGGTCCGTATAGTTTACTGTTGAACTTTATTAGCAATAAAGTTTGCCTTAATGTGTCGTATTCGATGCAATCCTGGAGAACGTGTTATGCTATCTGGAGGCGACTTTTCACATGTGCACATGACCGATACCATCATCAGGAGCCTTGCCGACTGGCGTGGGCGATCATGCCTCTCCATAATTTGCGATCTCCGGCAGCATATATCAGTTTGTGTGCTGACACACCTTCATGCCATGCAACAAGACTGTCAAGAGTCTTCTCTCGTTGTCTTCCCTATCCCTCCTTTCCACAGAGCTTTCCAGTGGTCACAACATGTTCTATCTTCCCTCTTCTCAAAACATGGCTGAAAAATGATGACTGTCTCCTCCTGATGTCTGTGATAAGTTGTCTTCGGACTCCCGCCTCGTTTTGGCTGTCCAAGGTATTTTAAGCATCCTTCTGTAAAACCGCATCTCTGAGGCCTTAAGAAATTGTTTGGCCTGCCTACTGATTGTCCAGGATTCACAGGCATATGTTAAAGCTGGATGTATGGCCGATACACTTATCTTAAACTGCGTGTACATTTGGCTGCGTAGCTGGTTATGCCTTGTTCAGAAGCGCAGGATAATGACTTGCCATCGCTATTGGCTGGGAGTCGCCATGGCGATGGGGGAATAGACGCGGGTCTGCGGAACAGAAGGTCGTGGGTTCGCGTCCTGACAGAGCCGAACTTTTTTTTTTTTTTTTTCAAAAATGACTCCCCGGTCGACCCAGCCTAGAGTAGGTACCAGGTGCTTTCCTGAGAAGTAAAGGCGGCCGATGTCATGCTGACCACATCACCCACCAAATGCTGATTGGTCTATAAAAATCTAGGTCTAGCCCTATATTCCCAATACGCCTGAAGGGGTGGAAAAGGGACCTTTATTTTACTATCACTATTGGCTGTGATTCCTATAGCAAACAGTATCGTCTGGAAAGACAGACTCATGCCAACAGTAAAACACCTTCGTTATTCTCTTTTTACTTGAAATCACTTTTAGGGAAAGGAGTGCAACTGGTTCAGAAAAAGAAAACCTTGTATCCCAAGTGGAACTCGTGTTTCGATGCTCATCTCTACAATGGGCGGATCATCCAGCTGATTATCATGGAGAAGCCCAACAAGAATCTCGCCGAGATCAGCATTGGCGCCAAAATGTTGGCGGATAAATGTGACCCTTCAACCGGAACCAGTGGCCCCCTTTGGGTAAGGATACGTTATGAGACTGTGTGATACATGTCATCGTCTACATTTAGATGTTCTGCCGTTACTGCTGCTGATGATGCTGATGTTACTGCTGCTACTACTGCTGCGAATATTACTGCTGCTGCTTTTACTACTGGTAATGCCACTAATCCATCAACTACTATTTCTTCTTCTTCTTCTTCTTCTTCTCCTCCTTCTTCTTCTTCTTCTTCTTCCTCTTCTTCTTCTTCTTCTTCTTCTTCTTCTTCTTCTTCTTCTTCTTCTTCTTCTTCTTCTTCTTCTTCTTCTTCTTCTTCTGCTGCTGCTGCTGCTGCTGCTTCTGCTTCTTCTTCTTCTGCTTCTTCTTCTGCTTCTTCTACTGCTACTATTGCACTACCGCCACTTCTACCACCACCATCAGGACCACCACTACTACCATCACTAGTGCTAATACAGCTACTAATATTGCTACCACCAGTACATGCTACTCCTGCTTGAAATAGTGCTAGTAATACTATTAGAAGGGCAGCAGCTGCAACAGCTACTTATTCTGCTGGTTGTGCTGCACTACCTATACAACCAATGCTGCTGCTTTTGCTTTACTAATACCTCTATTAGTAATGCTACTACTGCCTGAAATGCTGATAGTACTCCTGCTGCTGCTACTACCACCACTACCACCACTGTTAGTATTAAATACAACTACCATTTTTTACCTCCTCCTCCAAGAGAAAAGCAACGAAGCGGGTATCTGAAACTGTCCACACCACTTCCATATGTGTATCAAAGTGTTTATTATTATTAAACATTTAGACATTCTTTTGCTTGCAACTGTGATGTTATCTGACTAACCTACCAACACAACACTCGGTCGTTGAGTCCAAAATAATGTATGGATTTATTTGAAAAGGCAGGACCAAAAGTAAAATAATCGTTTACTCGCCCCCATATACCTTGACCTCACGGGCAAAACGGCACAGATTTCGGCAAGTTTTCACACCATTTGTGTTTATTACTAAAATAAGTAGTTTCTGAGATATTCCTGGTGTCGATTTTGAGCTTTTAGTTTATTTTAGACAACTGTTAACCCGTGATGTTAACCGATATTCACAATGTAAATGGTTGCCTTGAAACTAAAATCTGTGGCATTTTGGAAAATCTGTGTATAGTTGCTGTTTCAGGGTAATTATAAATCGATTTATTGCGTAGCTGTACAAATATTTGCGTTGAATTGTAAATATTGACGGATAATCGTGAATATATCCTATAAATATATTAACTTTTACCGTAAAATACTTACAGTCATAAAATGTTTTTAAACTACACTAAGTGTAAGTTATGTATAATATTTTTATTACATATGTTCTTCTTTATCTTCATATTCACTGGCTGCAAATTCCGGCGAAAAGCTCTGGCTGTTCGTCCACATGTCTGACTCATTTATCTACAGCCTGTTGGTTCCCTGCCACTCACGCACACGTAGTCCGACTTTGAAGGAACATATGTTCTCAAAATCATGTTACACGAAGGTAGAAACTGGAACATATTTTGACCACCGGAGAGGTTTATGGAAAGAGGGATAGATGAAGACAGGTTAGGGAGGTTCTTGTTTGTCTTTTCTTCATGATATGAAGGAGTTTCAGCAATTAAGTGCCACTCGGGAATGCACTTGATGATGGTGATGATGACGATTCTGGATATCGTAAATAGGTTAGTTGCGTGTCTTTTACAGGACGTTGCAGAACCAACCCCAGCATCCCCTGGATGTTGTGTGGTTTCTCTGGGAAAATTTTAAATGTAGCTGTGGATTGCTTAGATAATATGGGTAGCATAAATGTTAAATGTTTAATTAGGAATCGACATCACAGCACTCAGGACACCCCCATAAGCGGTCCGTGCCCATCTTCTGCAGCAAGCGAAGAGTTAAAATTCCTATGGTACCAGTAATCGTAAGATTGTATATCCGTCTCGCCTTTCCTCTGAGTGTCGAGCGTCGGCCAGATTCCCTCGTAACTCCTCACAGTACCATTCTCCTCAGACCGTAATGATCTGTTTGTTCCTTCGCACTGTTCACTCGCTCCCAAAGAGCCCTCACATCATCCGGCGTGTCATACATCAGTTCACCACCAAGTGGTGCAGAACCGGGTAGCGTAAATATAACACGAACATGTTAAATATATTCTTACTAACGCTGTGCTGTTAGTTTCAAACATGGACATTGAGTTTAGAAGGCAGGAAAATAAATTAGCCACGACAGAAATGAATTGATTACATATCATGATATGTGTAACGAATTTATAACGATATAATTCTCCTTACACGAGAGGCGATTGTTCATTTTTTTTTTTTTAAGCTTTGGCTAATTTCGTCATTCTGCTTTTTGGCATGTAGTATATAACACTTCCCATCAGGTTACCGGAGATTCAAATCCGAGTCTTCCACTTGAAAGTCCAGCGTTCTAACTACTTCGCTTGCCAGCCCTCATATGATTAATATGCTGATTTATCGAGCTTAGGACACTCACTTTTTTTTTTTTTTTTTTAATATGGAGAGGGCCTCAGTGTGCCTAATACTGCAGGTTCCGTCGCAGACTGCTGCAGACTGTTGCTTGAATATAATGGAAAACTGAGAGAAAACTAGAACTTTCTATAGTTCCTTGACGTTCAGGCGTATCAGGAGCCTCTATTGGCACTGCAGCCGCCTAACTGCTATTGGTTGTATGTACGCACTTGATAACCAGGTGCATTCTGGAAGATAATTATAATCGCTGTTAAATATTGTGCTAGTCCATCGCTAGTTTTATCATTTCAGGCTTTATTGGCGAATTTACTGCACGCAATTGCTTGCCTTGTCCTTGCTGTTGTCTTGTGGTTACGGCATGATGTGGTTAGCAGGCCTAATGGTTACTGAAGTGAGTGGTAATGGAACTGGGTGGTTAGGGGCCTTCATGGTTACCGAAGTGAGCGGTTAGGGACTTGATGGTTACCGAAGTGAGCGGTTAGGGACTTGATGGTTACTGGACTTGATGGTTACTGAAGTGAGTGGTTATGGAACTGGGTGGTTAGGGGCCTTCATGGTTACCGAAGTGAGCGGTTAGCGGACTTGATGGTTACTGGACTTGATGGTTACCGAAGTGAACGGTTAGTGGACTTGATGGTTACTGGACTTAATGGTTACTGAAGTGAGCGGTTACTGAACTGGGTGATTAGGGAACTTGGTGGTTACTGAAATGAGCGGTTAGGGAACTGAGTGGTTATCGGGTTTAATGGTTACTGAAGTGAGTGGTTATGGAACTAGCTGGTTATCGGGCTTAACGGTTACTGAAGTGAGTAGTTGTGGAACTGGGTGGTTCGGTGGCTAAATGGTTACCGAGGTGAGTGGTTAGCGGTCTTAATGGTTACTGGACTTAATGGTTACTGAAGTAAGTGGTTATGGAAATGTGTGGTTACCGGGCTTAATGATTACTGAAGTAAGTAGTTGTGACGAGACTGACGTCTGTAAAGGACCCAACGAAGCAAGAAGAAGAAGAAGAAGAAGAAGAAGAAGAAGAAGAAGAAGAAGAAGAAGAAGAAGAAGAAGAAGAAGAAGAAGAAGAAGAAGAAGAAGAAGAAGAAGAAGAAGAAGAAGAAGAAGAAGAAGACAAGAACAAGAACAAGAAACAGAAGAAGAAGAAGAAGAAGAAGAAAGACGAAGAAGAAAAGAAGAAGAAGAAGAAGAAGAAGAAGAAGAAGAAGAAGAAGAAGAAGAAGAAGAAGAAGAAGAAGAAGAAGAAGAAGAGGAAGAAGAAGAAGAAGAAGAAGAAGAAGAAGAAGAAGAAGAAGAAGAAGAAGAGGAGGAGAAGGTGGTGAAGGAGGAGGAGGAGGAAGCAGAAGAAGAAGAAAAAGAAGGAAGAAAGAGGAAAAAAGGAGAAAGGAAGAAGAAGACGTAGCGGTAACAGTACCGCAAAAGATGAAAAACATCACAGATTTAGAGAGAAAGAAAAATTAATTAATAACATCACGGCGACAACGAGTAGTATTGCTGTCATCACTTCAACAGATACATATCCAGATTTGTATGCGATATAAAATTGACACTTAAGAACAGTGTAAACGCATTGTGACGCACGATTACAAACGGGCAAATATTAGCGACAGCTGAGATAATAGTATACAGGAATTGATGTGTCGCCTCATCCTAGCAATTATTACATCGGCAAAGCAGATCTACAGAGTTGGCAAGAATTGCTGGCTACTATTGGCGCCTGCGTCAGTTGCTGGGGTTCGCTCTAGACAGACATCGTCATCTTGTCTTGTCATATGTCACATTGGGCTCGCAGTCAAATTCTCCCTTTCGTTCGTTCTGTCACATGTAATTCTTTCTATACGACGTATGATAACCACCACTTGTTCTCAGTGTTCTTCAACCCATGGACCACGGACCACTGGTAGCTCCAAAATAAACAAATTTCGACCTCATCGGGTATTTGTTCACCGGATTGGATTAGCCTTCTCGGTTCTAATATATTTTCGTCCCACGTATTTATTGGTTCGCCAACATATAGCTTCCCTTTTCTACATGATGGGAAGCTGGATGTACGCCCAGTTCTTTCTCCTTTCTTATCCGGGCTTAGGACCGGTAAAACCGAAACTCACTGTTCGCCAAATTGCTTTGTTAAAAAATTTAAAATAAAATTAAAAAAAATAAAAAAATGATGCTTTTCACGCCAGCGGTCGTAGGTTGCTAGATTATATTTGTCTAGTCCAGGTGTCAGCATAACTCTAGTCGTCTTTAACTTTGCAGGCTGTTACCTAGTGGCCATTTGCTCGTTTATTGCCAGGAATTTAAGTATTTGGGAGCAATTTTTACATCCGATGGAAAATTGGACAGAGAAATTAGCTCCAGATGTGCCAAAGCTAATCAAGTAATGGGTCAACTATCTCCCCTGTTGACACACAAGCAGATACCTCGGAGTACTAAAGTGAATGTTATCAGAACTATTTTTTGGCTAAAACTATGCTATCAATGCCAAACGTGGACAC